GCTAACTTTCAATACAAACACGAATAAACTTGTTGACATACTCTACTGTGTCTCATCTCCTGTTTTTCATCTTGTGTTTCATTCATGAATACGCAGAGGCAGGATTTCAAAGCAATTGTTCAAGAACAATCCAAATATTATTATACTTGTTACTTTCTGAGGTTGGGCATGTTTTTTTTTTTTTTTTTTTTTATTCATGTTTTTGGCAGTTTGAGCTCACACCCAAACACCGTAAGTGAAATATGTAGAATCAGCTTTCTAGAACGTACCATTTATTTTTGTTAAAATTTAGGTCAATTTTGTCAGTTTTGTTTTTTTCAGAGTCCTTTGACATTTTTGTTCAAGTGATTGTTGTTATACTTTTTTTTTAAGATGTGACGTCTGAGTCTAAGTACGGCATCACGTCTGTCCAGTTTAAAAAAAAAAAAATAAAGTAGAGATTTTAATGTAGAAAGTGATCGTTTCTTTCCAGCTTGGGGCACTTGGGCTCATCTCCTGCTCCACCTTGACTTTATATAAAAGTGAGTTAGTGAATGGGGCCCTTTTTGCTGGTTGTAATTGAACCTGACCCACTCGCACAATTAACTCTAACCCATAATATTTGTTCAGTGGTATTGGGTTTTGGATGGCTTGGCCCCAGCTGTGAGGTAGACTTCAGTGTAGTCAGCTGTGCCATCCATCACTGCTGCCGCTTAGGGGGGGGGGGGGGGGTGGAGATGGTAATGGAAATGAAAAAAAAAAAAAAAATGAAGGTGCATTAATGATTAGACCTTTTGCCAAAGTGATGAAGATGACTCGATGTTTCTAAAAGTTTCAACGACACAGCAGTCAACGCTGGCAGCCTTGTTTTTATTTTTTTAAGGCTCCTTAAACCATAAATACCAACATTATTGGTTTGTCACAGTGCTATTCTTGTTATCATTGGGCCAATTGCGTCCATTTGTAATGGACTTTTGGTATATTTTATATACCTCGACCTACAACGTTTCATGGTTACATCGTCATCTATTAGCTTAGAAGGTCTCGTTCCATCATGCCAACGTACGGCGTTAAAACTCGAGTGGATTGGGCATTCATTAATCATACATTAATAAACAATAATACATTGATAAACAATCATTTTACCACTCCTCTTAGATATATATGGATATAATAAATAAAAATAGATATCAAAAATAATATGGTAGCATACTAGCAACAAACTCCAGCGCAATCTGAACATAGATAGATTGATTTGTTCATGGGATGGGCGGGGCGCATTACACCACTGTAGCGTGTACTGCCGCAATGACATCACGTGATTGGTACAATAATCGTTTTATTTCGATTGGCTTGTTTTCATGATCCTGGGAAGCCAATATCGATTTTGGCTTCCAACGATCATGAAAACAAAATAAAAATAAATGGGATTTGGTATCGCCCAACCCTAATAGATATTATTTACAGCATTGTTTCCCAAAGACTGGGTCGCGACCCTCAGGTGGGTCGCAAGAGTTTGTTTTTGTTTTTTTTTTTGGTCGTCTCGCGTCATGTTTCCCACGAGTTTACGAATAATGTGAAGGTTTGTGACTGTGAAAATATGGGTTAAAAACAGTGATTTACAGCATGTGAGTTCCAACCGACTCGCTCTCTGTTTCGTTATTTCTAAAAGAGAGGCTTTTAGTTTGAAACACATTGGGTTGCCTCTAAAGAAGCATATGGATCGGAACTATTTTTGGAAGAAAAAAACAAACAAACAAACAAGTGCTTTAACTCGCCTTGTCCTCAAACATCAAACCTCTCAGGTTCTACAGGTTCGCTGTCTAAACCTCAGAGTATAAACATGTTACTAAACATAAGACAGTCAATTAGACCATGTGAACGTGCTTAGCTTTTGTGAATTGAACTTGAAAATTTATGTGACAATGGGTCTGTTTAAAGCAGACTTTTTTACCATTACTGGCACTGGACCAGTACCTATTGGTACCTATTGGTACTGG